GATATAAAGTCGCAATTGCGAGATAAAAAGTCCGAATTGCGTGATATAAAGTCGCAATTGCGAGATTTAAACTCACAATTCTGACTTTTTTTTGGCGCAATTGATATAAACTTTGACCTTTCTCGTAATTGGGATGGAAGTATGCCACGAGTTGTGACCAGAGTCTTCCGTTTCATCGTCAAAGACAGAGCTTGGATGGACATTTTCCGATGACAAGGTACGATCATACTCTTTGACATGATAGTCATTTAAGATGTTTATCATGTGTTAATAAAATACGTTGGGCAAGTATAAAATGTGACTTTTCGTAACGTGCACGTGCTAAGGTTGTCTATTACGTTTAGCCTTCTTTTGCATTTTAGTGTTGGTTTTATGTTTACAAATAGTTATTTAATATCCTGTATTTGTCATTGTACCAAAACTGTTTTGCATCAGGACAGGAGCTTTTTGCTTTGTCATGCACAGCACATTTTGACCATAGAGATCGGCTACAGATTGGTTTTATGGCTTACATACATGGTTTAGGCTAATGTTGGCCTAACTTGCCAGCCTCAGTTTGCTCTCATTATTCATTTCTGTTAAACTATCATAACAGGATGGACGATTTTATCATTTTTCTGAGGGAGAGGAACATTCCAGAAACCACCATACAAAGGCTGGAGGAGGACAAGGTAATATTTAACCAAGAAATGAATAAATTAAAGGAATAGTTTACCCCAAAATGAAAATTCTCAGTATTTAGAGGAAGTGACCATTTTAAGCCCATTTAGGCCTACTTACAGGATTATTTCTTTCTTAGATTATTTAATGTTTATTTTATTTGAAAAAAAATGTGTATTTTTTTACATTTAAATGTGTATACCATATATTTTTTCGGGTGTTCAGATTAACAAAAGTGATTCTAGATGTGTGAATTAATCACCATTAATCTAATCGTTCAATATACAATTATACCTTGTAGGAAATAAAATGTTAAAATATCTGTCATTCGTTTACGATGTGGCAGCTCTTTACTACTTTATTAGCCTTTGACCTGACCCATTTAATGACCCCTTTAATACCTAATTCAGTAAATGGTAAAACTACTTGTACTAGAAATCTGTTTGTTTATGATAATTAGTTAAAATAAAATGGTAACACTTTTACAATAAGGTTCATTAGTTAACATTAGTAAATGCATTAACTAACATGAACTAACGATGAGCAATGCATTAGTTACAGTGTTTATAAATCTTTGTTAATGTTAGTTAATACAAATACAGCTGTTCATTGTGTGTTCATGTTAGTTCACAGTCCATTAACTAATGTTAACTAATACAACCTTTGATTTTAATAACGTATTAGTAAATGTTGGAATTAATATTAACTAAGATTAATAAATGCTGAAGAAGTATTGTTCACATATTGAACATGTTAACTAATGTAGTTAACTAATGTTAACTAATGAACCTTTTTGTAAAGTGTTACCAATAAAATGATTGTAAATACCAGTTTGCTATGTCAAGCTTCATGACATACTGTTTTTGTACAGCTAAAATAACTGGAAATGGAAGACTCAACACATCAAATTTACTAAAGGCAGAGCCGTTCTTGCATTTAAAATAATGTGGATACTACTGTGGGGAAGTTAATCTATTGTAAAAGCACTGAAAAGCACCTAAAAACATGCTAGAACAAACCTATGATGATTTTTTTTTTCTACTGATACTAACAAGCCTATAGCATTTTCTGCTCAGAAAGGCTTAAATGCTCAATTGTGTGTGAGATGACATAATGACAAAATGGCAAATGCAAAAATGGCTCCGACTGTTTTTTTGTTTTGTTTTTTTTTTAGTAAAATGTTCCGTTTGTACAAACAATTTCTTGAATGCAGGGATAATACAAGTATGATTAACCCAGACCTAAGCTGCTTACTTGCCATTAACATGCGGTCTCCGTGATCTGATCAGGCAGATCGGATCATTAGCCAGTCAGGACATGCCACGTTTTTTCACATAAGTAACCTCTGTATCTGGATATCTGATCGGATTTCTGTTTCCGGCATAATATCTAAATTAGGTCTGTGGCATGACACCAGGTTAAGAGTAAAGATGATACAAATGTACCAATTGCTTTCACTCACTCACTTTACTTTCCTGCGCAATCTCCAGTCTTAGATCAAATTAAGTTTTTTAATGAAGGAATAGAGTTTAACTTGATCATACAAAAATAACTGATCATGTTAATCATCATCTGGGTTTAAGGTTATAGCCTGCAATGACTATATTGACAGAAATGGGAGATTGATAAACATGCTGAAACAATACAAACATTCAACATTTAAAACATAAAAAAATTCAGATTTCGATTCATCTGGCATGCAGCTCTTCATTAAGATCTCATGACTGACTGATTCTGCAGGCGATCACCTCGTTCAGATAATGTTGCACAATTAAATTGAAAAATGACACCCATAGTATCATGTAAGTCCAATAAACTGAGATCCGATCACAATGCGTCCTCGACTACTTCCGAACCTGGACACGCTGATAACACTTGTCTTTTCAATGTAAACGCAGCCCTAGATGCTTGTATGAATTGTATGAATATAAGCAACATTTTGTTTTGTTTATTGTACTGAATACTGAAAAATGTGTTTATTTGCAGATTGATGTCAGTGTCCTACTGCTAATGACTGATGACCAGATGAGAAGCTATTTTCCTTCATATGGAGACAGACTGGCAGTTTTGGGATTTTGTAGGAGGAAAGAAACTGAGCCAACTTGCAGGAAGTCAAAGCTGTTTGAGCGCCTCAAATCAAAACTTAGCAAAAGACAAAAAATTGACAATTCACAAACTGAAAACCATGCAACTAGAACAAACATCTCTCAGCGTACTGAAAGAAAAGTTGAGATTGGGTGGATGCACTATGATGGACAGGGCTTTGTTCAAATGAGAGCAAAAAAGGGAGGGGGAACAAGGAAGTTGAGTGTGCCAAAAGACTGGAAAAGGAAAGAACTGATTGAGGAGGCAATTCGTTTGTTTTTCCCGGATGAAAAAAATTCTCATGGAAGTGTTTCTGAGTTTGAATTGGATCTAACAAATTATCAGGAAGTGTCACTAGATCATGAAACTACAGTGGGGGAAATGTATAATGCATCCAAACTCACAATGATGAGGTTCTACCTCACAACAAGAAAGGTCGCGAGGGAAGTGGAAGCAGAAAGTGGAGTGGAAATATCAGATTCAGACACAATAGAGGACTTGCACAGAAATAATCAGGATCAAAATCTTCCCACTTCTTCCAGAAGAATGAATGACCTCTTTCAAGCTTCAGACACAGATTTAATTTTTGTGGAAAGTACAGACAACGACGACACATCTCCCTTACATTCCGCAGAGGATGTAAATTTGACAGATGATCTGAATGTCGCTTTTCAAAGTTCATCAATGACCTCACTGGATTATTTTGATTCAAGCGATGTAGTGACAGTTTTCACTGGAGAAGTCACTGAAATAAATGAACAATCCTTAGATGACACTTTGCCTCTGAGCCCGGAACCCATAGTTCCTGACAAAAAAATTCTTGTTGTTCATCGTGGACAGATATTTTCAGAACTTATTGCACATTTCTGTGATGAAACCCTTGCACACACACAGAGTGCTGTAGAAGTGAAGTTGCTCCTCCCAAATGGACAGTTTGAGATGGGCCATGACTTCGGTGGAGTGTTCAGAGATTGCCTATCAGAATTTTGGCAGGAATTTTATGATCAATGCACACTGGGAAACAATTTTAAAGTTCCCTTTCTTCGGCATGATTTTGGGAAAGAAAAGTGGGAAAGTGTTGCCCGAATAATTCTGTTTGGCTGGAAGAAAGAGAAGTATCTTCCAATAAAACTGGCACCTGTCATCTTGGAGCAAGCAATACAAGGATCTGTCAAAAGTGATCTGATTGACAACTTTTTAAAGTATGTCTCAGAAAATGAGTGTGCTGTCTTAGAAAGTTAATAATAATAATAATAATAATTCATTACATTTATATAGCGCTTTTCTCGGCACTCAAAGCGCTTTACATAGAGAGGGGAATCTCCTCAACCACCACAAGTGTGCAGCATCCACCTGGATGATGCGACGGCTGCCATAGTGCGCCAGAACGCTCACCACACACCAGCTTACTGGTGGAGAGGAGACAGTGATGAAGCCAATTGGTATAGATGGGGATGATTAGGAGGCCATGATGGAAAGAGGCCACTGGGCAAATTTGGCCAGGATGCCGGGGTTACACCCCTACTCTTTCGAAAGACATCCTGGGATTTTTAATGACCACAGAGAGTCAGGACCTCGGTTTAACGTCTCATCCGAAGGACGGTGCTCTTTGACAGTATAGTATCCCCATTACTATACTGGGGCATTAGGACCCACACAGACCACAGGGTGAGCACCCCCTGCTGGCCTCACTAACACCTCTTCCAGCAGCAACCTGGCCTTCTCAGAAGGTCTCCCATCCAGGTACTAACCAGGCTCAGCCCTGCTTAGCTTCAGTGGGCAACCAGTCTTGGGCTACAGGGTGATATGGCTGCTGGCAAGTTGCAGAACAGACTTCTGTAGTGCAGACCAGGAGGAATTGATCGAGATCTTGGACAACTACAGTTGTCGTAGAATTCCAACAGAAGAAAACTTTGTGCAAGTTTTGCAAGAACTGGCTCACAAGACTCTCATTCAAGAGCCTGCTTATGTTCTTGAACAGTGGATGAGCATACTTGGACCTCTGAGGAAGGACCTTCAGGAAATTGAAAATGTGTATTGTGCACTACAACCAACAGTGAGGAAAATTGTGCGATCTCTCAAATTCCCTGAAGCAATGAATGCACACCAAAAGGACATTTCAAAGCATTTGACAGCTTACTTGCGGGAGTGTGATGCCAAACGACTGTCTCTGTTTCTGAGATTTTGTACAGGATCAGATTTGTTTATAGATAAAACTATAACAGTTGATTTCACAGACCTTAAAGGGTTTTAGAGAAGACCAGTGTCACACACCTGTGGCTGTTTCCTGAGGCTGTCAGTACACTATGACAACTATCCAGATTTCCGATCTGAAATGAACAAAATTCTTGAAAGCAATGTCTGGGTAATGGACATAATTTAGCTGCACTGGCACATACATTGGAAAATGTCAGAAACTGTTTATGGCCAGCTCATATCCTATTTTGCATGGGTCAGTCTTCATACACTTAAAATTTATTATACACGTGTATGCATGGAGTAAAACATTCACTTTAATTTGAATGGTTATTCACTTTAAATTACAGGTTACACTTAGTTGTTGGATGTCGAACAAACTTTTTTTCTGAAGATTTATTTTGATTATGACTTTCAATAGTGAAAACGTAATTATTTAGTTGCAACCTACTGTTTGCGTTAAATTTCACGGGTTGTTCATGTCAACTCGTCAGTCAGATGGCTTTGAACTGTTAATTAGTTAATGGTTCATTCTTCATACATTTACTCGAAAAATTAGAATATCAAAAGTTCATTTATTTCAGTAATTCAACTTAAAGGGTTAGTTCACCCAAAAATGAAAATTAAGTCATTAATTACTCACCCCCATGCTGTACCAACCCCGTAAGACCTTCGTTCGTCTTCGGAACACAAATGAAGATATTTTTGATTAAATTTGAGAGCTGTATAACTACCACATTGGCTCCTAAAGGACTGCCTCTTGACGGCCCAGAAAGTCAATGAAGAAAATGTTTAAATATCCCAAGTAACTACCGTGGCTCAACTATATGTTTATCAAGCGACGCGAATACTTTTTGTGCGAAAAAACAAACAAAAATAACGAGTTTATTCGACTATTTCTTTTCTTCCTTGTAGGCCAGAACGAGACTTCCTTAGATTTCCACGACGCATGCGCGAGAATTGCGATCTGAAGTAGTGTAAGCTGGTGTATTCAGATCGCAATTCTCGCGTATGCGTCGTGGAAATCTAAGGAAGTCTCGTTCTGGCCTACAAGGAAGAAAAGAAATAGTCGAATAAACTCGTTATTTTTGTTTGTTTTTTCGCACAAAAAGTATTCGCGTCGCTTGATAAACATATAGTTGAGCCACGGTAGTCACTTGGGATATTTAAACATTTTCTTCATTGACTTTCTGGGCCGTCAAGAGGCAGTCCTTTAGGAGCCAATGTGGTAGTTATACAGCTCTCAAATTTAATCAAAAATATCTTCATTTGTGTTCCGAAGACGAACGAAGGTCTTACGGGGTTGGTACAGCATGGGGGTGAGTAATTAATGACTTAATTTTCATTTTTGGGTGAACTAACCCTTTAAAAGGTGAAACTATAGACTCATTACCTGCAAAGTGTGATATTTCAAGCCTTTATTTGTTATAATTGTGATGATTATGGATTACAGCTTATGAAAACCCCAAATTCAAAATTAGAATATTGTGAAAAGGTTTTCATAAGCTGTAAGCCATAATCATCACAATTATAACAAATAAAGGCTTGAAATATCACACTTTGCATGTAATGAGTCTTTTAAGTTGAATTACTGAAATAAATTAACTTTTGATATTCTATTTTTTCAAGTTTCACCTGTACTCTACATTTATTTATACATAAAGTAAAACATTCTCTTTGTTTACTTCCTTAGTTGTTGCTGGTTATGTTTAAATTCAAACAACCTTTTTTTATTATGTTTTTGATCATTTATTTTATATTTTGTTAATGAATTTCAATAGTGAAAGATATCACATAGGTGCAACCTACTGTTCATGTTACCTTTTCAGTCAGATACTGTAGATGGCTTTGAACACTTATACAGTGTTCATAATTTAACTTTGTGCTTGTATACAAAAGGGTGTCACATTATTGTGAACCTTTAGTACATGCTATAGGTTAAACTGTTTTGTGAAATTGTTTTATAGAAATTGTTTTACTGTGGTTTGTATTATTCTTACTTGTACCACATGTTGTCATGTTTGGTTAACCACTATGCATAAAATACCAACACAATCTGCATACATGGTGCCAATGTTTTTTGTGCATTAAAGATGGAGTGACTTCCACAAACCAATAAATAATGCACAATAAAGTTTGCAATTGTGACTGTCTTTTTTAAAGAATATTCCAAATTCTGAACTTTTAAAATCTATTTCAGTTGTAGCTCTGAATAGAGGCACACAAAACAGAAAAGCCGATGTACCATGTAAAATTAGTACAACCATTTAGGTTCATCGTGAGTGTTAAATGATTTAGAGAACATACAGCACTGCCATTCTGAGAAGAAAGTTTAAGGTTTTGTTTTGAGCAATGTACCACAACAAGGTTACAGTTAATAATCTAAATACCATAAGAAATTCAGTTCTTAATAATTTATTTCAGGGATAATACAAATAACATCAATTTACCTATAAACCCATTTTTGTTCATATTTTCAGTCCCCTGCCCCTTTAAAGTCTTGAAAGTCAATGTTAAACAGAAGAGAAATCCATCAAATTTGAACAGTTTCAAGCCATAAATACATTAGTTTTTAGGTTCAAAACATTGTCTTGACTTGTCCATCTAAAAAGGCTTGCTGCACTTCATTTGTATTCAAGTTTGAAGTATTGACAGTATAATGCAATGCAATAAATCATGCATGTAAATTACTGTGGCTGGAAAAATAAAATAAAAAATAAGGCAAACTTTTTACAATTGTTTGAAAAAAATTCTAAGTGTTTTAATTACATCTATGCCTCTTATTCTGATGGTTGTGCTTTTGCCATGTTATAACTCTGAAAATAAACAGATAACAAGATATCAATTTGACAGCATGCTAGAAGCTCCAGTGAAGCCGTTGATACTCTGTTGCCTCATGAATGGCTGTGACCTAATAAAAAAATTAAGTTTTTTTCAAGTTCAAGTTTTATTCCAATTTAAATATTTTGGTCATCTGAAATACTAAAACAATTGAAACAATACCTTCACAGCTTATAGTGATGTTTATTAATTTAGAATGGTGAATCTAGTCCTCAGCGTCCAGTCCTTGAAGGATCAATTCGCGAAGCTGGAGGTAAAGGTCTGTAATTTCATAAACATCATCTGACATGACAAGGTTATGCTCAGTCATGAGTTCTACACACAGTTGAAAGACATCCTCGTCACAAGGATAGTCTTTAAATAAACACTCCTCTTGGCAAATATTCAGTTTTGTTTGTTCAATTGGATGCAAGAAATTCTGCACTCCATATAAGCTGGGAACAGCAAACATTATTGAAGGTCGACCACTGGGAGCACGTGGGTTGTGAGTTGGCCGTATCCTGTGGGAATTCCAGGCACTGACAATTTCATCAAGCTCTTCCTTCATAAAACAAAAAGGAAATATAAAAGGATATATATATTATATATATATATATATATATATATATATATATATATATATATATATATATATATATATATATATATACACTGTATATAATATTGTCTTGTCAAATTAATTAACAAAATTATGTCATTATACGTCAAAAGTTATAATCCAAATTCAATAGGCCATACTCTCTATAACCACTCTGATAGTGAACAAAATTGAATAAAATAGGCCTACCTGAATAAAATGTTGGAAGCAAAACTGGATGAGAGATTTATCAATGAAAGTGTCAACAAAATGTCCGTCTTCTTTTAATTGTTCAAAAAGATCCATCCAAAACTGTATGCACTGGCTTCTCAAAGTGGACCACCATCGTTCAATTCTCTGGTTCCCAGTGCTTGGACCAAGAGTGACACATTCTGCACTTGCAGTGTTTCTGAAAAATGTTTGCATCTCTGCTATATGAGTATTTTCAGTTCCGTGGTCAATGCGAATTCTTTGTGGAAATCCGTTATTCTCAGCAACAGCATGTACAAAATAACCTGCAATTACTCGTGGGTCATTGTTCGTTTTGTATGCTTCAAGCCAGATCATTTTTCTGGAAAATCCATCAATGCATCCGTTTATACATATTCCGTAAGGTTTTAATTTGTCGTACCCGTCAATATGCCAAACATAATTTGGCCCGCGACTGTTATATACGCGTCTGCGTAGACGACCATGAGCACGTAGATCAACTCCTTGTCCATCTAACAGTCTCATCAACTGACGGACAGTTTCTCTGTCAGTAATAATTCCGGACAACCAACATTTCTGGTGCATCCATCGATAACCATGTTGCCGTCCCGATGTCTGAAGCTGCTGGTGTATAAAATGTGCCACTTCAGCCTCGTCCGTTTTGTTGCGTCTCCGCCACAACTGATTCCTGCATAATGTTCTCTCAAGAGTCCGGAGACTAAGCTTAATGTTGTGTGATTCCTCCAATAAAATCAAGATTTCTCTATTTGTGAAACCGAGGCGAAAATAATCCTCTATAATCTTTTCCATTCTAAATGCTATAAAATGATATGTTCCAGCGTCCCGTGTTTGACTTGAGTGGTGAATGAAATGCGAGCAAAGTCAAAATTACGAGTTTATACCTCACAATTTTGACTTTTTATCTCACAAACCTGACTTTATAACTCGCAATTGCGACTTTATATCACGCAATTCTGACTTTTTATCTCGCAATTCTGACTTTATAACTCGCAATTGCGACTTTATATCTCGCAATTCTGACTTTTTATCTCGCAATTGCGACTTTATATCACGCAATTCTGACTTTATAACTCGCAATTGCGACTTTATATCTCGCAATTCTGACTTTTTATCTCGCAATTGCGACTTTATATCACGCAATTCTGACTTTATATCTCGCAATTCTGACTTTATATCACGCAATTCTGACTTTATATCTCGCAATTCTGACTTTATATCTCGCAATTCTGACTTTATAACTCGCAATTGCGACTTTATATCACGCAATTCGGACTTTTTATCTCGCAATTGTGAGAAAAAAAGTCAGAATTGTGAGATAAAAAGTCGCAATTATTTATTTTATTTTTTTATTCAGTGGCGGAAACAAGCTTCCATAGGTATGAGTGTGTTCAGTGTGTGTTCATGATGTGA